ATAAGTCGGTTGAGATAATTAGATGGGCGGTAAAGTGGATTAGGCAATCACCTTCAAGAATTGGCAAATTCATCAAGTTTGTTAAGCTTGTTAATCCGGGTACAACGAAAAACTTGGTAAGAGATGTTCCAACAAGATGGAACTCTACTTATCATATGTTGAATATTGCCCAAGATTATGAAAAAACTTTTGAGAGATACGATCTAGAGGAATATGAGTTTCGTTCCGACATTGAAAAGGCGGGTTTATCGATTCCTTCACCGAGCGATTAGCAGCATGTTAGGCATTTGTGTCATTTTTTAAAACCATTTTGTGATGTTACTGAAAGGATTTCCGGGACAGTATACGTGACATCAAACACATGTACTGAAGACATTTATTCCATTCGTACACTCTTGGATGATGCTATTTCCGATTCTAGCCTTTGTGATATTGCATTGGCAATGAGAGTAAAGTTTGATAAGTATTTTTGCGATGTAGAAAAAATGAATTTATTGCTCTACTTTGCTTTGATTCTTGACCCGAGGAACAAAGTAAAGTATTTGGTTATACTACTTGAGGACCGTTATGGAAAAGAAAAGATGGAGGAGAAAAAGAAATATATTATGGATTCTATGTATGAATTATATAATGATTACATTAGAATTCATTCTCCAAGTACTAGTTCTAGTACTACCGAGTCTAGTAATTCATCGTCGATTATAGGGAAACGCTAGAATCTGGATGCTACGACATCAAAACCACCATTGAGAAATAAACTAAGAGAAAAGATGAAAACAAACATAGTTAAGTCAATTGGCGAGTTAGAAAAGTATTTGAAAGAAAGTGTTGAAGAAGATTCGTCAATGTTTAACATTTTGGATTGGTGGAAAGTGAATAGTCCAAGATTACCGATTCTATCATTGATGGCTAAAGATTTGTTTGCCATTCATGTCTCGACTGTGGCTTCAAAATGTATTTTTAGCACTAGCGGGAGGGTTTTGGATCCGTATAGGAGTTCTTTGACTCCTAAGATTGTTTAAAGTGTAATTTGTACCCATGATTGGCTTCGGGGTGGTATAAGTGACAATATCGATTTTAAACAAGATTGGGAAAACCTACAAGAAATTGATAAAGGTAGTTGTTTATCTTTAATATTTTTTAATATTTTGACATGTTATGTTTTGTCCTTTTAATACTTATACTATTTGTATAGGATTGAGAGAAGTTGGTATATCTAATTAGAGCTTGGATTGGATATGGAAATGAATGTTGCAACGTGAAGATACAAGATTGATGAATATTTTTGTGAAATTAATAATCATTTGAAGGTGATTTGAAACTTGGTTATGTTTTGAATTGAGTTATGACTTATGAATTTTACTCTTTTGTTATGTTTAGATTTTTATTGTTTAGTTGGGTTGTTTTTAGACTTATGTATTTTGTTCATTCAACCGTGATGATATTATTGATGTTATTATTATCTTCTTTTTGGTTCATTAAGTTTTATTATTTGAAATATCAAATTTATAAACATAATATACAAGGTAAACAAAAATTAAACCAAACTTCGATAAGAAGTGTTTTTGTTATAAAATGATGAACTCTTGTAATCTATATTAATACACCACGAATTCCTCAAACATACTTGAAACTCTTTAATTAAAAAAAATCAAAAAGTGACACTTAAGAAATTTTCGGGTATACCCGATAATTACCCAACCCGACCTTAAACCTGAATATTCGAAACCCGAAAACCCGAATTACAATATAGGTCGGGTATCGGGTATTATTTTTTTTAAGGAAATACCCGTTCTACCCAAAACCCGAAAATTTTACTCGTTCGACACCCTAATTGCAATAGACTTTGAGAGATGATAAGGAGATCTTGTACATATCTAGAGATCTTGTACACACGCCGTAGGAAACATATTTGATTTGCATTTGCCGTTAAATGATGTTTATATGGCTGATTTTGAATTATATTGACGTCAAATCATGAGTCACACACGACCCTAAGTTGGCCAAAATATCTCTAAAAAAACAAATGCAACCTCATAAAACTACAACTCGATATAATAGAAGTAAACATATCTGTTTATGTCTTTATAGATAATAACTTAACACTAATCTGGTTTCTCCATCTTCTTCTCAGCAATCCATCACAGCACAATTGTAAACAAAACTATCAGACCTTTTCCGACCAATCATGCTCCACTCCACCGGCCCTTTGCTACGCATCCATGAATATATCTCCACCACATTTGCATTATCTCTCCGAGGACCACCAATAACAACCACCCTCTCCCCACAGCCTCTAAACGCCATCCCCCACCCATCCACCGACTGTGCTCTTTCCGGCAACCTCCCTATAACCGCCCATTCCTTCATCTTTTGGTCATACTTTTTCACCTCCATTGAAGCTGCATCACCAGCATACAACTCATTACCCACCACCGCCAGCAGTGGTGGTGCCATCCTGCCGCCACGACCATCTACCGGCCACATGTTGGGTATTATGGTCCACATTTTAGTATCCAAATCATACTCTTCACCACATGTCAACGACTTCATCTCATTCCCTATCCCTCCGATTACATAAAACTTCCCATCCATATAAACACCAGAACACATTTTTCTTGGTTTGATCATGCTCGGAAGCATCTCCCAATTCCCTGACCTACTATCATAAAGCTCCACCGTGTCCATGATCATTCCGTTCTGATTAACGCCGCCTGCAAAGATTGCCACCTGGCCGAGACTGGCGGAGCCGAATAAACATCTGGGAATGTTCATCGTCTTCCCTAATGACCATGAATTTGTTAACAAACTGTACTTATAACTCGCTTGACCCATTAAATCTCTTCCTATAACTAGTAGCTCCGTGCCGACAGCCATGGATTCCTTATCAGAAAACTGGAAGCATTGATCGGCGTCCATTATGGGGAGTTGAATCCATATTTTGTTAGATGGATCAAAAGCTTCCCATTTGGCTAAATGGCAAGAAAAATAAACCCAATACTCTATAACTTTGTTATCATGTCTTAGTTTATAGATTTCTCCACTTTTGATGAGTTCACGAAAGCTTCGGTTCAGTAAAGCAATGGAACTGTAAGTGGCACGTGGGCAGCGAATTAGACAGTTGATGGAGTTGTCTCGGCCTATGGCGTTGATCAGATGGCGTGTGTCTAAACCGGGTTCATGTTGGTTAACCGGTTGTGGAGGTGGGATTACGTGATCAAGTAAGCTTCCTAATCGAAGGTCTAGACCATCGTTTTTCATGGATTGATCATGGCTGACATTCTTAGAATTAGCAGCATCTTGTGGAGGTGAATCCGCCGGAAAACCACCATATGCTAGTGTGAGTTCTAGACCATGGTTGTTTTCCGATGGCTGTTTTTCTTGCGGGAATTCGAGTCCTTCGATCCCATAAGCAGCCCATGGGTTGGTTTCGTGGCTGTAGTTCTTGGAAAAGAAAGAAGATCGGTCCTCCAACATGTTTTCTTGATTCTGACAAAATGACAACGAAATCTTAAACAAATCGAAAGCAAAACCAATGAGAAATAACCATCGATAGTGTACTTACAAGAATCCATATGAAAAAAGATTAAAAACACAATAAAACGATAAAACGATAAATTGAATCAGAACCAACACATATATACATTTTCGATACAAAATCAAATGATCGGATTCGAAGCATTTGACTTACCTACAAAGTAAATGCGGCAGCGGTGGCGTTTCCCCCTCTGGAATCGGAATCGGAATCAGAAGGGGTTTTGGGGTTTTGAATTATAATATTAAAGTATTTTTTTACTATTATATGTTTATTTTTTTCAACAATTTCTTGCTATTTATAGTAGATTCGAGGACTCGAGATGATTTTTAGAGAGAGAGAAAAAGGGTCGCGGTGGTGACGGCGGAAGGGACCCATGACCACTTGGCTTTAAAGCGTGACTGATAATGCACCATGTTTGTACACGTGTCCTCTATTTTTATTTTTATTTTTCTTTGAATAAATAATTTATTTGTCCAACAACTAAACCGTATCTGTTTTCTCCTAAAGTACAAAACTGGTCCCTGAGTTTCGTATAGTTGTCAGTTTGTGTCGTTATATTATGAGTTCCTTCAACTCAACCCTTTGATCGACAACTTTCTACCACAATTTTTTTTATGTTTGTTAATGTAATGCAGAATGCATGTATTGTAATGTTAATTATATAATCTTGTAGAATAATGAATAATATTTCGTAATAATATAATGCAAAGGTTATCGAATATTAAACTAATGAGTAAACATTTATTTTTTGTGAATTTATTGTTTGGGTTTAAAAGGAAAAGCTTCCGTGACACGTTGGATTTGGAAAAAAGACCAATTTTCGGCCAACCTCATTTGCTAAATTTAGAATGTTAGTAGAAAAAGCTACTAAATCTTCATTAGTAGAAAATTATTTAAATATATATGTTTGCATATTGACAAATCGAGTAAGTGAATAACATGTGAGTGGCATTTTAATATATTTTTCAAATGCATGATCATGTGTTACAACATATGACTCCTTTTCCTTTTTTATCCTAAATGGTTTGACTTTCCACCCATTGTTTTTTGCTCCATCTTTACCTTAAAAAGATAAGTGTCTTCCTAAGAAATCATCATAACATTTGTAACTCCTTTTAATCATTACAAACCAAAACCAAATGCATTTACCTTGTTTATTTTGTTAATTTTTCTAAAATAAGGTAAGGGATGATCTTAATGTTCATGTTTTTGGTGCTCTTAGAGCATCTACATTAGTAGAGCTTTTGGATCATCTTTTCCAATTTTGCTTTGCCTCATACATGACAACTAAGCAACACAACAAACTCAAAATATCTCCACAATAGCGAAATCCAATCTTGAACTTATTTATAGTCCCACAAATAGATGTTATTGATTCTATTTAATCGATTATCGGTTTAACAAAATGAAAACAAACCAAATAAAACTTTGTTAATCGATTTTGATCATTCGGTTTTGGTATATTTGGTTCAACTTACTAGTTAAACCAAATAAGATTTTATTTAAACGATAAATTAATCTTTTACATTATTATTGTTTATTTGTTTAATTTTGTGTAATATGTAATAATATATAAAGCAGAAATATAAATAAATTATAACTATTAATTATCAAGTAATATGTTACATAAAAAAATTTGTAATTAATCTATAGAATTTGAAATAAAATATATAAAACTATATTCTTAATTGATTATTCAATTTAATCAAAATAATAAATATTTGACCAAAACCAAATCAAATGAGGTCAGATATATTTGGTTAACCAAACGAAATTACCCAAAGAGAAAATAAAACCAAACCAATAAACCCAAACATATTATGTTCGTATTGATTATTCGGTTCAGGTTTTTTCTTCCAAATGTTGGTTATTTTATATCACTAATATTATTTAAATGTAATGGGATTAATTTGTTGATCAATGTCACTTTGACAATTATTGAACAAATTCGTATGGTGCGGAGTGCATATTTGTTTAATTTTGTCTTTGTTGAAATATACTGCTATTTCGGGGCGAAGCCCCTGAACTGACGGGGTCCGGGGGCAGCGCCCCTAGGTTCCAAGGGGCGGCAACCCCTGGCTGGGTTTTGTGTGACAACCCGAACCCTTTTCTAGTTTCCGTTAATTAATTCTCGTTAATAAAATTTTATTTTATTGGGTTCCGTCAACTTCCTTCGGTTTGGAAAATCATTTAATTATATATTTTTTGAGTTCTATATTCGAGTCGGAACCAAAACCACGCGAAATTTCGGGAATTCTTTCGAACAAGACCGAGTTCACGGCCTGACTTGAGTTCACGACCGTACACCCGTGTACGGCCGTACACTCGTTTACGGCCAGTGTCCGGTGGACCCCACCACCAACCAATGAAAACCCCTATAAATACGATACCCAACCCCTCATTTACATTTTTCTAACCGGACACTCTCTCCTTTTCTCTCTAGACTATCGACTGTACACCCCTAAAAGCACCTTTATTCTTCCGGAAAACATCGAAAAAAACCATTGGGGGTCATTTGGGAGCATCTAGAGCACGTTTCTCGTCGAAATCAGCATCTTTGTTTTTGAGTGTACGGCCGTACATCTTCAAGTTCATTGACCGCACACCAGTCTACGACCGTACACCTTCAAAGGCCGTACTCCATTCAAGAGCCGGTTAACGGCCGTACACCCTATTCACGGCCGCACACTTGTTCACGGCCGTAAACCCCGTTCACAGTCGTACACACTTCCTAAGTGGTGTATTTGACTGAAAACCTACTTTCCTCGATTCAATCAAGTCCCGGTAACATTCCTTAACTGAAAGAAAGTGTTTTCCTAACACTTTATCTAACGAAATTGCTAATTTAGATACATTATGTATTTAATTGTTGTTAGGATTCTGTTAGGTGCCACACTTCAACTCGAGGGTCTTCATTCCAGTTCATTGATTCAACACTTGTATGCAACTAACAGTGAGTTCATACCCCTACGCTTTTACAATTTTTAATGCTTTCAGGGGGGGGGGATACAAGCCAAACACAAATGATTTTAACAAATTAAAACTTATGCAATTGATACAGTCAAACGATTTCCACGTTTTACAAAATATTTAGATATTTTATCCCTTTTGTACTATGTTGAGCATAAGGGATACTTTTATTTTGGAAACACAATTTCATAGTTTTCAGAACAATTTACAAAACCAAGTACATAACATTTCAAGTAAACTATAATGGGTATAGTTTGGGGAATTCAATACACAACTTTTACTAATTCAGATTACATACATGGGTAAACATATAAACTATGACATATTTAGTTTATGATATACATTACTACAAGAGTACAACATTTAATAATTATTTAAGTATAATTATTACTTTATACAGTATACAACGGATCCAAATACAAGAGAACACTACAAAATTACACGTAAACTAGATTATACATAATTGTGAGACTCTACTTCAAAACGGTACCCTTAGGTGTACTAAATTAAATCCTATCATAGTATAACCAGAGTCTCCTGGAGGGAGAGTGTGAGATTTGTGAATAAATCTATTCGGGACTGACAATCCCACACCTGAACTGCTAGCTACAGTTAGGCAGGCATGCCTGAGGTGACAAATGTCATTTAACCGACACTTGAAGAACGTCGTAAAGGTCACTAGGTCATATCAAACATGGTTATATGACTCACAATAGTATAAACTAATCATTTGTTTACAGGATTTCATTCTTCATTAGTTTTATTTTGAGTAATGAAACTACTTTTACATACTAATATTAGCTACGGTTTTCATACAAAATATACTATACAAAGGTTTTTATACAAGAATACACACATACTACGGTTGATAGTAACTAGACATACAAACTAACGTTTTTCTATACTACAACAGGATACAGTAACAAATATTCATAGTTAATTCTATAATTCCTTAGTTTAGGCATCAGGGCTACGTATGGAGAATATTCGATAGACTGTGGAATGTGTGGTTTCCGCCTCATTTCCTGTTCCTTTTGGTTGTGGGCTTAGGGCAGATCCACATAATCAACTGTCTGTTCGATATTGGTTTATACGCGGATAACATGAACTAAGTGGTCATAGATGGAACTGATATTATCACACTCTCTTGACTAAAGAAAATATTGGATTTTCTTGGATACATACAATCATTTTCACAGATACGTCAACAGGTTTTCATTACAAAAACATCGCTTATGAACTCACCAGCTTTATACTGATACTCTTTTCAAAACTGCTTGTATTCTCAGGAAATCAGTAGACAGGTACCTCCTGGAGTTTTGAGAAGACGGAGCGTATAGAGTCACGTCTTTTTCTTTTGATTATACTTTTGATGTATAAAAAAAAGAATTAAACAGATGTAAACCCTTTTCATATATGTATTCAATGTAATGGTTGTTTTTACTATGATTGCTATGATACAATTGTTGTGATACTACATATGACGTCATCCACCCCCGAACGTTTTTGCTGTTCCGGTTTGGGGGTGTGACAGATTGGTATCAGAGCCCTTGTTTATAGCGAACTAAGTATACCGAACCTTACATGGTATACAACTATAAACACTAAGGGGCCGAAGTGCTCTCAACTAAAAGTATACTTTTAAAAATATAAGTATTGCATAAGAAGTATACAAGTATACATACGTACCAGAAACAATATCATAAGTAGAACAAAACAAAAAGTATTTGGATGTTGGACACTGTGGTTAAACCTGGGTAGTTATGTAATCATGTCTGGGATCAATATAGTCTGATCAACTATATTCATTTGAGACATGACCAACATGTGACTGGGAGTGATCATGCTGTTGCAGCAAGCCTAAAACTTACCAAGCTACATTCATCAAGATATCGATAGAACAGAGCATACAACTTAAAATACTATAGGGGTATTTTAGCTAGATCTGAATACAGTATAGAGATTCATT